AATAAGAAGAACATGGTGATAAGAACTTAAGCTGTAATTACTTTCCCATGGCCTGTAAAATGTAACCTACCCAGTAACCCATTTGGATGAAATATGTAAATATAGAGGAGGTACATGAAATGTCACTGACATTACCTTTCTCCTGCCTGTTAAGTGAAATGTGAACTCTCATGAGGAAGATACAGGTAAGATACAGGTTTCATAGTTTCAACATAAACAATGAAGTTTTGCCAAATATTGAAACACAACTGTACTGTAAGCTAAAGTGAAATTCATCAGCGTATTTTAGTTGCTTTTACAGTTTATATGACTTTTGTCAGTAAAGTGATTAAACAAAGTTAGCTTCACCGATCCAATAGAATAATTCTCCTAAAATGTTTGGCAAGCCAAGTTTTCCACATAGAATACTGTTAGCATTTCTGCTATGACATTGACTACACATAAAGTGGCCTTTATATTTCCAGTCAGGCGTGTAACTTTATCCTCTATGGGCAAAATGCGCTGAAATGCATCACCTTTGGAAATACTATAGGAAGATTTTTTTTTCCATCCAAGATAGGAGATTGCTGCAAGCCACTATTATTTGAATTTACTTTATCCAAACTTTTAAATTGAATAATCTGTCACCTTTAATCTGAAAATTTCACTGGTGTTTCGTGCAACAGTCCAAACCCCCGGTTATTTAAGTTTAATAACTTCAACAGTCAAAAATACTTAACAACCAGTGGACGTGAGCAGCTCATTTTCTCTATGAATCGGTAGGCAGAGGCATAGGAGGAGTCGCAAATGACCTAACGCAACTGCCTTGGCAGTCCTGCCTAACAAGTCCAGGATTAGAAAAACACTCTTCACTGTGCACTGATGCCCCTCACCTCCTTCAGCACTCTAACGCACAGGTAAGGAACATGACGGCACTAGGAATGCGATACTTCTATGTTATCTTCAGCTGAGAGTCCTTATTTATGGCAATAAGATATCTAGGTTTATGCAAATATAATGCATTAATGTTTCATGTTCATAGCAATAGAACGAGGACCATATTTATTGGGATCACGATACCTGTTTTCTGTTTTATCTTCTCTCAGTTCTCTAAAAAACAGCTCATATATAGAAAATGGGGTCAGAGATCAACGCAGGGCCAATGCGTGTCCTGGTGACTGGTGGATCAGGATTGGTTGGTAAAGCCATTGAACATGTTGTGCAAAAGGAAGGTGGGAAACATGAGGGAGAACAATGGATCTTCCTCTCTTCTACAGATGCAGATCTTGTGTAAGTTGTTTCTTTCTCCAGAGTATGTCTAAACAAATATATCTACAGTTGTGTTATAACACTAACAATGCCGGTGCCAGGGAGCAAATTTTCATGTCCTGTCACTGGTGCATGGTTTTGCTGCCACATCTCAGTCTACATCACCACTCTTGCTAACCCATGCTTGGTATGCTGAGATAGGGGTGTTTGCTTTGTGCCCACTGGAGGAAACATCATTACATTGTAAAGCTATTATGGCACAGTCAAACTAATTGTACAACAGCTATATTCAATAAATTGCTAAAAGGGAAAAAATTATGATCAGCTATGCTCTTATTTAGCTACACTCTCTTTAATGTACCAGTACCAGTCAAAGGTTTGGACAAACCTTATAATTCAGTGGTTTTTCTTTTGAATTTTTTTATTTTCATTATTTTCTCAATTGTAGAACGATGCTATATGTACTATATGTGTTGGCTGTGTGTGAGTCTTCTACTGTATTATACTGTACACATCAAAACTCCAGTATAGGGAATAAACAGCTGTGCTCACAGGTACTGTACTTCAGATGTTGGTAACAGTGTTACCCATTCATTTCTCTAGCTCAAACATTCAAGCACAGGAACACAAACAGTGATTTTTCAAACCTGTATGGTTTTCCAATTTTTTTTTTTTTTATCAAAAGTGGAAATAAATGCAGAGTTAAAACAGTGTACTAAAATATTAACAGAGATGTCGGACAGACCAGGGCTGTGTTCGAGAAGTATCGTCCCACTCATGTCATCCACCTAGCTGCCAAAGTGGGAGGACTCTATCTACACATGAGGGAGAACCTGCACTTCTTGGTGAGAGAATGCTGCCAAACAAAACAAATGTCAAAGTATAAACGGTAGCAGGAAAATATATTTTAACCAAACTGTAGAAGTGACGTCTACACAAAATGTCTACATTGTCTATTCACTGCAATGGCCAGTCAGTGACAGTCTGACTCCTTCACAGAGGGACAACATCAAGATCAATGACAACGTACTACAAACAGCTCATGACATGGGTGTTACCAAGGTCGTGTCTTGCCTTTCCAGTTGTATCTTCCCTGACAAAACTACATACCCCATCGATGAGACCATGGTAAGCTCCTTTAAAAGCCTTTATTCACCCAATGTAGCTCCTCTAAATATTATTTTTTCTTTTTTGGTAACAGCCAACAACGATAAATTAAGGGAGATTACAGGTGTTTTGGGATCATGCTGTATGTATATAATCCAATAAAAGTTGTTTTATTGTAAATTAAGAAAAATAAATGGCAAAATTGTGTCACAAGAATACCTGGCAATGATTGGCACAGATTTCCTAAAAAGGGGGATCACACTTCTCAATATTTGTTTCCCCTAAATGACACCAAACCCTGACAGTAATTATTAGGACACAATATTGCTTCAGAGCCATGATATGAAGAACAGCAGTTAGCACTTTGGCAAAGGGCTTTGGTCTAACTTTGTCTTCACTGTGATTCTCCACTCTCCCAAGATACACAATGGGCCACCTCATGACTCCAACTTTGGGTACTCACATGCTAAAAGGATGATTGATGTTCAGAACAGGTAAGCTGAGGCGCGGCTGTGTCCACATGTTACCATTACTGTGAAAACATGCGTAAAAATGAGCCAGGTGCACATATAACATTCGCTGCTCTCTTTTCAGACCACCTGAATATGTGAAAGGCCTGTTCATGTAACGTCTGGCTGGACAAAAGAAAGAAAACAGCCACTAAAAGCCTTTTAAAGCTTCACATCTTGTGTCTGGTCCTCACTCTGTGTGTGTGTGTGTCTGTGTGTTGACAGGGCCTACTTTCAGCAGTATGGACATCGTTACACCGCAGTCATCCCGACCAACGTGTTTGGCCCCTATGACAACTTCAACATAGAAAATGGCCATGTGCTGTCAGCGCTCATTAACAAGACATACAAAGCCAAAAGTGATTGACTCACACACACACACACACACACTAATCCTTGATTCACACACAGACTGCAAGCAATGAATAACACACACGTCACAGACAATAACCAGGTAATAGTCTGTTTTCTCCGGTGTCTCTCACAGAGGAAGGGACTCCTGTGAATGTGTGTGGCTCTGGAGCTCCTAGAAGACAGTTCATCTATTCTCTGGTAAAGTATCTGTGTTCTACAACCTGCTGTGTGAGTCTACACTGACTAAGTCCTGTTGTCTGTGTTTATTCTCAGGACGTGGGCCGTTTAATTATTTGGGTCCTCAGAGAATATGAAGAGATCGACCCCATTATTGTCTCTGGTGAGTGCAGTGCCATGTTCACCCTTATATTCTTTTTGTGCCTATTATAGGTATCTTATGTTTTACACCAAAGGCAATGCAGAAAGTTAGTTATTTTTTTCAAAACGTAGAGATTTGTGACCGTTTGTGCACTGTTCATTCATGAATTTTTCACTGTTGATTTCATTTCAGTGGGGGAAGAGGATGAGGTCTCAATCAAAGAGGCTGTGGACATGATTGCACAGGCTCTTGACTTCAAAGGCAAAATACAGGTATCCTTCAGACATTTCCCAAACGACACCGATATAGAGCAGTTTAATTATATGCAGAGATGCTTGAGTGAACCTGGGATACACAGTTATTACTGTTAGATCAATAGTGAACTATTGATCTTATTTCCTATTTTAAGAGATTTTTTCTAAGATTATGTACAAATTTGCCTTTATTGAGCAAAGAAAGCCATCTTTGTTCTTAAAAAAACTACTAATGAATTCCATTACCATAATTACCATGTGGTTTCTCCTTGACACCTCATATCAGTTTGACACCACTCTATCCGATGGCCAGATGAAGAAGACAGCCTGCAATTCCAAACTAAGACGCTACCTTCCTGACTTCACCTTCACTCCCCTTAAGGAAGGTCAGAATTCGTTGTTAGCCTTGGTGCAAGATATGTCAATGCTTCTCAACTTACAGACTGATTGAGGTTTAAATAAATATTTTAATGTGTCTGAAATCAGTTTTTGCTTTTGTCTCTCTTCCTAGCTATAAAGATGACCTGTGACTGGTTCATGACCAACTATGATACTGCCCGGACATGAAGTGACCAAATACTGACCTGAAAATGAACCACTGCATCTTTTTATTTTAATATTATTTTGGGGGTTCCGGTGTTCTTTTCACTCTATTGAAGCCTCTTCAGTTTTTAATCTCTTCGAAGAAATTTCACATGGAGCTATTATTAGAAGGGTCTTTTTTAAGCTACAATTCTTTGAACTATTTAGTGAAACGTTTCATCATTTGAAATGATTTAGAAAGAGTCTGACAAAATAAAGACCATAATCTAATCATTAAATAATAATAGAAACAAATGACTCATCATCCCAAATAGTCCCATGGTAACAAATAATGAATGTAGTTTATATATTATTTGAACTCCTTGAGGATGCAGGAGATGGGTTCAAATTCAATTCAATTCAGGATTTAATAGTTTCATATTATCAGATAACTGATTAGGGTTTTAAATTTGTCATATTTTAATATTTTTAGGAGAAGAATCTTTGTTAAATGCTTTTTATGTATTAAACTCTCATATTTCCATGCACTAATGTTTGTGTAATAATTTAACAAAAGCCAAAACAGTGTTTTAGTATGCAATCAGGACAAAAGAACCCAAAGTACCATTTCATGCCATTAAGTGTGTATGAAGGATGAGGTACAAAGAGAGAAACCTTGCACAGAAGCACATTTTACATTTTATTAGAAAAACTTTACCTAAGAATTTTTTTTTTTTTCCATTCGCCAAGTTCTAATTTAAACTGTTAACACATTGAGAGAAATCATACAAAGACTGAGCTGTTTGTCAGTCAACATTAACACGGTTTCTGCTGTTTAATGTGAGATTTGAGACTATGAAAAACAAATTCAAGATGCCTAACAAAATACTTTTTGATAAGATAAATGCCACCTGTGAAGACCGTTTCAAACTCTGATCCCATGGTATGTCACAACACAAGCTGTTTATTAAAAAGACCCACACAACCTCTCTTCCAGAGGTCATGGTTTCGGAAAACACCAAAATGTTTCAGCTGAAGAGGTTCGTTTAAAGTCCTTCCCTCTCCTTCCCATCCTTCTCCACCCCCGTCACTCTGTCCCTCACTTACATTGGTTACTCAGTGAGGTAGAAGTGCATTTTGTCGTTGACATTCTTGCGCTCTGGATTGAGGCGCTTCAGGATCTGTGCCAGCACGTTGACAGTCTGCTCACTGCTCAAACCTGTGCGCTTGGTCTGGAACTTCTTCAGCAGGTCTTTGGTGGTCATCGGTTTACGGATCAGGTAGCGCCGGACCGCTTCCTCTGTTAGCTGCACATCACTGTGGGCCGGATGAATGGGAAAGAACACGGTTTTACTCTGTTCACAAACACCCTGTAAAACTATTTATTTTCAGGTTTACATAAGATGTCTATATGTATTTTTTGTTGTCAGCTTTGTCAACTGTGATACGTTTTACAGTTTCACATTAATCACAGAAGAAATAAATAGCTTAATATTTAAAGAGACATAAAAAAACAAAGTACCTGGAGCTGGGGGTGGACTTTCCTGATGGAGGCTGAGGTGTGCTCTTCCCAGAGGGAACAGGGCTCTGACTGCTGGGCTCCATCTTCAGCCTTTTGGCAGCTGGTGAGTCAGTGGCTGGACCCTGAGTCTGTCTCTTACCTGTGGGAAACAGAGATTTAGTTGGAATGAAAAAAAAAAACAAACGAGGGACCCCAAGTTTTTATTGATGGCGACTTTTTAAAGTTTTACATAAAAACATCCGTCTTGTGTCTTGTTCAACTATAATTTTGGGATGGGTGTGTGCATTAGTGGTACATAAGCACACACCTTGCTCTAGCTTGCTGGCAGCAGCACGGAGTGTATTGGAGGTGGTGGCAGAGTCTATGGATGGTGTCCCAGGACGACTGCCAGTCCTGGAGCTGCCTGCAGAGCCACGCCCACCTCCACGTTTAGGAGGAGTTCGCTTCTTCTGAGAGCCGGGGAGCAACACAGTGATGTTTGATTAGAACAAAAAGGAAAACACCACACACATGTAAATACAGAACCATTCACACACTCCCAACCAAAATAAATTAGCTGCTAAAACGGAACAGTGCAACTAACTCCAATTAGCTGCACAGTGACTGAACACATCCATTTGAAACTAATCATCCTTTTACTTTTCATGTCGAGGGTGATCACACCAAATTTATACTAATGCACATTCTGAGCAAGAATAGCCTATAAAATACACTAATACCATTTACTCTGCCGCACACACACTAACCACCATGAACAAAGCAGAAGCTGTCTCTCCCTCGATGTCACTGTCGTCAGAGCTGTCCGATTCTCCGCTGCTGTCTGTGGCACACAAACCCATACAACTCAAAATCAAGCAGAAGGGACTATCATTTAAAACTAACCATGTTTATTAGGACCTCTTTCAAGCATGTACTTGTCAAATTGCCGTCTGTCTCCATGAGGAGTGTACCTTTTTTCTTCTTCTTCTCCATTTGGACCGGGGTTTTCTTTCCTTCCTCCTCTTCTTCCTCTTCTTTTGCTTCCTCGTCATTCTGTTTCTCCTCCTCACTCTCTTCTTCACTTTCAGATGCCTCATCAATCCCTATGAAGGACAAACATTGATAAAGATGTTTCATCATATATATTATACATGCATGAAATCAGTAGTGTCTTCTATATTTCATAAGTAATAGATCAGTAATGTTCAACCACAGACAGTCTAACCTTTAGGGAGGTCCTCTCCTTTGCTGGGCTTCCCCTTTTCTGGCTCTTCATCTGAGCTGCATTTAGAAAATTACATAGTAATCAAAGCGGAAACGCAACCAAACAAAACCTCATACATATGGTGTCCACAAAAAAGGGAATGTTTGTGGGTCACAACGCACTGGATCTGACCTGCTTTCATCTGACATGTAATCCACCTCTAGACCCTCGTAGTCACCGTCATCGCTGTCTTCCAAGGCCTCGCTCTCATTATTTTTTTTCTTCTTCTTCTTTCCTTTTCCTTTTCCTGTGTCTTTCTTGGCTTTTGTCTTGCTCTCTCCATCTGTGCATTAAGAGAGAGGTGTCAAGTCATTGATGAAAAAAAAAAATACACATTACATGATGACAAAAGGAAGGAAGGTGTGGACAGGTATGGCAGAATAAATGAATACTGGATGCTTTACTATGAGCTCATGGCTGTTTTCAGCCCCATATAGTTCCTTTGTCCTTACCTTCGCCCCCACTGCTGTCACTGTCATCGCTGCTCATCTCCAGGTCATCGTCCAGGTCATGAATGCGCAGGTCGCCTCCTCTACCCCCCTTCTTTTTCTTCTTCCCCGATTTATCTGCCTCATCTTCGTCATCATCACCACGCTCTTGCTCTCGAAGACGCCTCTGAAGCATGATGCTGAAGTGATTCACCACCTTGTTCCTCCTGTATAAAAAAAAAAAAAATCATCTACTTTTTGACACACCTACACCAGTGAGCTAAACTTCCCCCCTCTACAAACAGCTACCCCCTTTCCCACCTGCCCCACTCCTCCTCAGCCTCCTCGGCAGTGAGAGTTCGGTGCTTGGCCTGCGGTGTAAAGTTGTACCAGCCATGGACAGGGAAAGCCTCAAAAGCTCCATCAGGACACTGTGTAAAGATGTAGTAGGATGCATTTTCTGTAACACCGCCCTTCTTTATACCTTTGAACCTGACACAAACATGCACACAGACAGAGGGAGAGAATGACTGTATAACAAACAGTAGTGATCCTCCATCAAGGCCTGCAAATACGTCTCAGAGAGAATTTAACAAAAGAATAATTTCTTTATTTATACAAATGTATGTGTTGTGAACTGACTCAAAAAGTACAAAGCACACATTCAACCAATACATGGATTTTAAAACTTGGCTACAAAGTTGTAAACAATAACAACTCATTAAAAAAACCCACATCAGTTTCAGTTATATTATAAGTATGTGTGTATGTGTGTGTGTGTGTGTGTGTGTGTGTGTGTGTGTGTGTGTGTGTGTGTGTTCCCTCTGGATGCAATGTAGTGTAAATCAGATTGAATCAGAGCGTAAAGAAGTTGCCTCCTCACCTCTTGCCGGCCTTGCCATTGACCTTGAGAATCCAGGGCTGGTCTTCCACTTTGAACTCACGTGTCACAATACCAAACTTCTTTCGCCGTGCTTCCTCACGCTGCTTTTTTCCAAACTCACTGCCAGCTGCACCATCCTGTGTCTCTTCCTCACCATATATCCGCCGAGCGCTCATGTCTCGCTCCATACGAGCCTGGAAAGGGAATGGGAGGGAGTTGTTAAGACATGCTAAACTGGAAGATGGTTGTCATGGCCACTAACTTAAGTTATTCATCTTAGACTTCATATTTTTTCATATTTCCACACAGCTGGTCATTTTTCTCTCAGAACTGAGCTTGTTCCCAACCTTTTGGCAAGTGGAGTTAATCTGTTATGCAAAGACACGCTAATATGAAGCCCACCTGTGTCCATGTTGAACAGCTGACTCTGTCTCCTGCATTGAAAGCCATGATGTTGTACTTCTTGCTGGTGTTTCTGTGGGACAGACAAAGGGTTGCAGGAATAGTTGCCAGATCATGAGTAATTTAATGCAGACAAACACCTACATTCACTTTCACATCTACAGTATAAACACTTCATCCTATAGATGCCACACACATAAATTAAACTTATAGTTATTTTTATATATCATACTGCAAATGGCTGCAAAACACAAATTCCATACTACGTAATCCTTCTATCTTTTCTTTTTCAACTTTTATTATACAAAGCGGTGACACATGACATGGTTAATCCCGACACTTTTCTGTGGATATCTGAATGTCAGTCCATCTTACTCACTTGGGAACTCGCACAGTGTATTCTGTGGCTGACGAACTGCTGCTCCCCTGCAAGACAAATAGATCCACAGGTTTTCTTTTAGAGGACTTTTTCTCTTCACATCTGTATGTACTTTGAGGGATATACAGTACCAATCAGACCATGGTGTATCTTAAACTTTATCACAGACAGTGATACTGATAGGCTGAAGTAAATAATAATATTGTCTACGTATACGAAGATATTCACAGCTACCATACACTTTGAAACAAGAAAAAAAGTTAGATTTTGTCGTAGAGTAAAGTCAAAACTTACCAGCGAAGTCATGGTTGGTCGTCGATGTCTGGATTTACTCACCACATCAATAGCTGCTTCAGGTTAGTTGGATGCACTACTAAAAAACAAAAGTTACGTTAATAATAAGCTTAACTCGGTTAAAAGTGAATTGAAGAGCAAAATGATAAGTATCTTTTTGTTTATCGTAGAGACACTAAGCTAGCTAACAACTGAATTACAAAGTAAATTTAATCCATTTTAGCAGTACATTATATGACCAGTGAGTTCCTGTCTAATGCAATTAATTAACATTAAAATAACAACACATCAGTAAACGCAACATAAGACTTCCAGTGGGCGGTATTTTTGTTAAGATACTTTTGTTCCGTTACCTTTAGCTCTTGCAGCTAAAATAAACAGTAGCTACACATTTAGCAGGAGTTTACGGCTCCTGGTAACTGTTACTGGGAAAGCAAAGCTTCAAACTCACGGTGCATTTATGTAAAACACAGGGGCACGAAAACACGGGTTGTATAGACTTGCATATATCTAGAGTATACGCACAAACAAACAAACAAATTTTGCTGATTTACCGGTTCGCGCACTCACACTATGCTTGTTCCGTTAGTATAAATAGTCGTCAAGAAACCTGATCTCGAATACAAATGGTTCCTAGCAGCTCACTCCGCAACACTTTCTTTGTGAAGCTCGCGGGGGCTTGGGTTGGCCCTGCTTTAAAGCCAATTTTACTATTGTCGCGTAAAAGACCACGATTTTAACCACAAGAGCAATTAATTTGATTAATATCACAATATTTCCCTCTTATTTCGTTTCTAAATGCGTCAGTCTGGTTACTTTATTTTGAAAGTGTTCACCGGACGTGGGACTATACTATAAAGCTCTTGGACTTTTAACAGAGTAAATTACACTTCAGTCACAAATGGTAATATTGCAGGCCTGATTACTTGAATGCATTACATTGTGCAGAGGAAGAGTAAAAATTCTTAAGTTCCTGTGATATCTCTTTTCAAATGATTTGTTAATCATTTCATTGTGATTTGCTGTCAATGATTTTCCATTGAAATGAGCAGTACGAAATATTTTTGGCCACATTTATTTTAAATTTTCAGATTCCTTTCCTTGTTTGTTTGGTATTATCTTGTGGCATGTGATATCATTTTTGCTGCTTACTAAAATTAAAGCAATCAAGACCAGACATGTAAGATATTAGTTGCATACTCATTAAGATGTCAAAACCTATTGGCTCTAATTGTTCAGACATGACATATAGTAGCCACTGCCTTAAAAACATCAGTCTTTTCTTCTCCCTTTGTATTTGGGGATTTGTAAGTTATTTACATACAACCTTAGCAGTACCAAGTTACAGTTTTACAAGACAAATTGACATGACAGGTGACGCATGCACTCCATCTCCTGAGGTGTTTCACTATTTGTATCCATGCTAAGTGACTGGTGCATGTGATTCCACAAAGCACATGCTTTTTATGTTATATACCTTAACTAAGGCTTTGATGACACATGTGTGAATGTTCAGCCCTTGCAAAAACACATATATGCCCACTGAGAAATGGTGATTTTAACAGCAGAGGAGCAGTATAAAAAGATTGTATGCCTCTGATGGGCTTAAATCAAAATAGATAAATAAAATATCAAAGTCATGATCATTTGGTCTAAAGCATGTGTGCCACACATTTAACATTTTATGATTATGACTTGGTTTGACAAAATCTGTTTAATCTAAAATTAATATCTTTCTTTCAAGCTGTCTAAGGGGAAAAATGTATTGATTAACAAATGTTTTGAAACAAAAGTATCTGATCTATCAAAACATACCAGGTACACATTGTGATCAAATAATGATAATAAAGCTAACATAAGATAATGTAACATAAGGTAACGTATGTAACATTAGTATTGCATTCCCACTAAATAATAATATATACACAGAAATATCTAATACAAAAAGAAAAAGAAAAATTACAAAAATACATATTTTGAATGAGAAAGAGATCACCATTTTTTAAATCATGGTTATAGACAACACCTGTTGGCTGAATAGTTAATGTTCACAATGGCTGACACTTCTGATAACATATCCTGATGTAAATTGAAATAATGTATATTCTGGACTATAGCCTATAGGTACATAGACACTTGTTTTTCATCAGTCTTTCTTTGAGTAATATGTTTATTTATTCATTTTGTACAAATACAGAGTGTTGTTCTTAGTGTTTTTTTAGTATGTAGGGAACACAAATATATCGCAGCGTGCCGCTCAGACCTCTCTCCCCTCCTCACGTCTTGACATGAGCTGTGTTACACTTAAAGCTTTTCCATTATTTGCATTGTTTTTTGCATTAGTGCCAAACCTTGTAAAAACAGCTTCTGGATGCTGTGCAAATTTCTAAAATGTACATATAGGTAGCTTAAACAGTGATAATTGATATTTGGCGGAGTGGGACCTGTCATGATGAACTGCTGTGCCTTTTCACTTCTCCTAGGTGAGTTCATTCATGCTTTCTATACAGTGGCAAGAAAATTATCTTCATCTAAGTAACAAGGAAAGACAGACACAATATGCCTAAGCTAATAACACACAAACAATTACAATCCTTTGCATATTTATTGAACACAACCATTAAACATTGACAGTGCTGGTGGAAATGGTAAGTAAATCCTTGTTTTCAATACAACCTGAAACCTCTGACTGGGCCACTCCAGAAGGTGGATTTTCTTTGTTTGAAGTCATTCTGTAGTAGATTTAGTTTGATGTTTAGGATCATTGACCTGCTGTATCACCCAGCTTCTACTGAGCTTCAGCAGGTGGACAGCCACCCTCACATCGTCCTGTGAGATACCTTAGGAATATAACTTGGGAATTCATTTCCCCCGTCAATCATGAAAGGATGGAGGTCCCCAACCAACTCAAAATGTTTGGGTGTTTGCAAGTCCAAGTAGCTCTAACCCACACCTCACACCTTCAATCTTATTACATTAATTGGACTCCAGGTTTGCTAACTCCTGACTCTAATGAACTTTTGTTAATTGCCATTAGCTGAGTGGGTCACATATTTTTTTTCCAGCCACTGTGAATATTTGAATGATGATGCTTTCAATATGGACGGGAACAATGCAATGATTTGTGCGTTATTAGTTAATATAATTGTGTTTGTCCATAACTGTAACTTGGATGAAGATCTGACCACATTTCATAACGGATTTATACAGGTGATTCAAAAGGGTTCACTAACTTTTATAACTTTATATAATGTGAAAATGAAATATTATCATATACCTTCACTTTGTACAACCCTGCTAAAGCTGCACAATCCTCTAAACTGCTTATTTTACTATATGAATCTAGATTCAGATCTATAATTAGGATAATTGCAGGACAATTAGTATATGTTTATGTATTTTATAGTTTTTTTTACCCAAATGTATATAAATTTGTGTAAGTACAGCTGTTTCAGTGTCATCAGCGCCAGTTCATCATTAAGCTTATTTCTGTAATAGTCTTGCTGATAAACCTCATAATTTGTCATTTAATCCTTTTTTAGACATCTGACAGCTGTTCTTAGAAACAACATGTCTGTCTTTGTGCTTTATAGGTTCACTCTTCATCCGTGGCCATTGTGTTTTTCCTGCTGGTATGGATGACGTTAAATTGTAAACATCAGATACACATTTTGGCTATAGGTGAAATAACAGTCATTTGTTTGTGTGTATATTTGTTATTATTGACATTCATTAAATTTTGCTGTTCCATGTAGGCTCTTGTGACCAATACACAAACAGAACTGAACCATGGCGCAACCTATTGTTTACATCATCGTCCTTCCCCGGCTACCCAAAGAACGTTGATGCAGGACTTGTTGGGAAGTGGTGGCGCTTCACAGGGATTGGTGGAGACAGAATCATTACAAACTGCCATGGTGGCCCTATTGGTGGTACCGAATATCCTATTCGTCTTGCATTTTCATATCCTACAACTGAATCTGACAGTGCAACAACAGGGACTGCATATGGTGATGTTGGAGGCTGCTCAACTTCCAGCAGTACAATGAGCGTGGTCCTCTGTCCTGGAGGATTCTACATATTCAAACCATCAAGTCACCCACATAGCAATACGGGTTATATAACCTGTAAGGAATGATTATTCATTGACATTCTTTGCTTTATATTGACATTCTTATCCAATGCAGTTAAGGAGACCTATTTTTATCTTTTCACCATGTGTATGTGTGTGTGTGTGTGTGCGTGTGTGTGTGTGTGTATTATCTCTGTTTAGATCATCATGTGTGTAACCCAGACTCTTGTGGACCACTTGCTGACTGTTCATCTGATGGGGGTTGTAGGTGTATTTCTGGTTATGAAATCCCTCCAGAACACCTACCCACACCAGATTCATATGGTTGTGTTGGTAAGTACGTTTTAGTTCATTGAAACTATTATGAATCACATTGTGATTTACAATTACTGCAATTATCTATTACTGGTAGTACATTGGGATGCTTCATAGAAGCTTACGGTCTACATTTGGCAAGCATGTACTGTACTTCCCACCTTAAACTCCTGTCTGTAACATCTCTTGGCAGACATAGACGAGTGTCAGAGGACTGCGGACATTTGTGGTTCTCACTCCAACTGTACCAACAACATTGGAGCATTCTTCTGTAGCTGTCTGAATGGATTCAATGCAACAGATCCAGCATCACCACCTGGAAGTTCCAACCCATGCGCAGGTACAATTTTGTCTCACTGTCGAGCTCAGATTAGTGTATCTTTCCGCTGCACTGCAGTGGCATATTTGTGTTATACAAGTTGCGACTCCAGTTGATTTTTTTTTCTTTTTATAGATATTAACGAGTGTCTTGAGAATATCTGTGGAGATGATGGGACCTGTGTCAATAACCCAGGAAGTTTTGTGTGTGAATGCAATAAAGGCTACCACCTTGAACCCGATGCAACGCCTTTTTGCCAAGGTGTGTTTACAGTAATGTTACACATAACCAGATGATAAAGACTAGCTTTTTTGTCATGTTCTCTAAGCTTTTACTCAACACAGCTACCAATAGTACACTTCTATTGAATAAAGTGTTGTAATGTAATGCATTTGTGAATGCATTTAAGAGCAATTATAGCCCTTTATCCAAGAAAAGAATTGAGGGGAACTGAACTTGGCTGTAGATACTTGAAGATGTTTCACCTCTAGTCCAAGAAGCTGCTTCAGTTTTAACTGACTGACTGTCGGGTCGTTATCAAGGCAATTGGTGTGACTTGGTTTGTTAATCGTTCGTGTCGTTGGAGTCACATGAAGCCAAGTGTGAATGGTGTTTAAATCTTCTGGGAAGGGATGAAACACATTTCTCAGTCCAAAAACTCCAATGACTGTCGTGGATGGATGAATATTGGATAAAAGGTGAAACGTCGAAAAGTATCTGCCACCAAGGTCAATTCAACCCTTCATGGACAACCATGAACTAGATGACTGAGAATCTTCACAGACATATAGCATTTAGATTTTTTTTTTATCTTGGATTAAAACAATGTCCTGACCCTTTTTTCCACGCCAACTGTGTTCACTGTTCCTCCGATAGATACTGATGAATGTTTTAACTCCACCATCTGTGGCCCTGACTCTGATTGCACCAACACACCTGGAGCTTATACCTGCGCTTGTCAACTGGGTTACAAACCAACTCAACCAGACCAGGACCCCAGCGAGACCAACATCTGTATTGGTATTTGCACTGATGGTTTTCAGATGCAAGAGGTTTTTCAGCGTCTAGGAACAGATGGAAAACTGCAAATCAATTTTCAGATTGTCTTGAAAAAAAGTCATAGACAAAACCATTACTTTATTGTTTCATTTGTGTATCTTGTACTTGGCAGATGTTGATGAGTGTGTAAAATATTCTACCATCTGTGGTCCCAATGCCAACTGCACAAACTCAATCGGATCTTATGTCTGCACCTGCTTCCCTGGTTATCGGCCAATCAACCCAGGCGTGATTGCCAGTATATCTAACCCATGCACAGGTGTGTGTGCACTATTGACTTATGTGACTTATGATTTTACTATTATACATGTTACTTTCATGTGTATGTGTTCTCTTTCTCTACAGATATAGATGAGTGCAGTGAGACACCAGGATTATGTGGTAAACAAACTGTGTGCACAAACGCACCAGGGACCTTCTATTGTTCTTGTCCAGAAGGATTTTACCCATCAACTGGAATTGTGTGGAGTTTGGGTGTTTCATTTTGTCAAAGTAAGCTTTGGATGCAATTGGTTGCAGTACGTACAGTATACTGTCATTTTCTGAAGTGGTGAAAGACCTGTACATGCTTTTTACACTGACTTTTACACTGACTCAACAGGTCTTCAGCAGATTCTAGATGAGATAAAACCCCCCGAGGTAAATATTATCAACAAAGTGGCATTGTGGAGAAGAACAATCTTACTAGCCAACCAATTTTGCAAACACAAAGACGTGTAAGGTGATGCAGTATATCACCAAAAAACAACAAAAATGAGCAGAATCAAATTTAGGTTTCATTGCTTCATCTTATGGATAGATCCAAGTTACCCAGGACACAAGTTAGTTAGCCTGACAAATTACTCATGCCTCAATAAAATCTAGAACTTACACAAATACATATTTTTAATAATGACACCTTTGTGTTGTTAGCATTCAGTATGCAACAGTGACTTTAGAGGGGTACACAGCTAGAGACTGGGTCATTCACCACACACAGATGCACTAAACCACTACACTTGTAATGTGAGTAGGCAGATATGAAAATGTTGGGATATTTCATGTTGCTCAAATATTAATATCATTTGCCACAAGATATAAAGGTTTAAATATTATACGCTGCAAACTAAATTCTTTTGCTGTTGTATTTCTCTGCAGGGGCAGACAAAAGAGAGAGCTTTTCTTGGCAACATGGATCAACAACTGAAAGACAATGAAGGCATAGTCTTACCAGAACCGGTAAGTGCACAGCAATGAGTGGTGGTCCCCCACTAGAAACCTTTGAAAAGGAAAACTGGTGAAATTGATCAGTTATGACCGATTTCATGAAGATGAAGATCTCTACACTCCAGCGCTTAGAAACATGGATTTCCTGAAGTGTGCAGAGCTAGTTTCACATAAACTGGAAATTAATTCAACTCTGCCTCTCTTTCTTGTGCTTTCTCTGCAGACTGTGGCAAACAGCTTCTCAGCATCTATGGTAAATATTCCGTAAATAACCTGAATCGCTATAACTGTGTTGCTTTTGGGGGACGTTTTTTTTGTGCTACGTTGTGTTTGTATCACCAGCCAGGTCAGTTCTTTATCACAAGTATTTTAATCGTTACAGGAAGTGTCAGGCGTTGGACCACGTGCCAAGTCAATCACAGTGAGCAGCAAAGGCGACGGGGAGACCGGCAGCGTGATTCTGGGCATTTCAGACCGTTTAGTGTCTGCGATGGTGCAGCCAGGTCAGAACCAAACCAAGACAACCGTGAGGAGTCCAACAGTGGGTAAGACAGGTTCATCTTACTTCAGTGTAGACATTTACTGTATCTGGACTGGGTGGATATCAAATCAAGCTATTGTATCACTAATCTGCGTGTTAGATTTAAGCCTCGAAACTATCGGACCAGGAAACATCAGTGGCGAGAGCTCTCTTCTCTCGGCTAATAGAAACAGCATGCAGATCAACCTGGAAAGTCTGGCTACGAACAACAATGGTGAGAAAAAGCTCATAATCAAAAAAAGATGATGGGAATTACAAAAGTATACATGTTTTTTTTTTAAAGAATCATACCTGCAATGTTGCATCCATGTATACTACACATTAGGTACAGTATATTACCCACCTTTTTTAAAATAAATTTTTGCCATAGTAAATCACCCTGCACAGACTTAACCTTAACTACTTTTATTTTGTCAATTTTATGTTATCACTGTGTGCTTAGGAGAGATTCATTTTAAAGTTAACTCTCAAACAGTAGATAAACTGAAGAAAACAAGTGTCACCATACACAATATGACATACATATTCACAACACTAAAACTGACTGTATTGTAAAGTGGTATTTTAAGGTGTTTAAAAGTGTTGCTCATCCTCACAATGTGTGCATTCCCAGGTTCTGCAGCAGCTGCCTTCATGACATTAAATGGGATGGAGAGTCTTCTTAGCCACAAATACTTTGAAACAGAGAACAGTACAGAAATGTACTCAGATGTTATCACTGCAATCTTGCCCTCATTGAACAACACCAACCTCACAGAGCCTGTCAACTTTACCATCTATCACAAGAAGGTGCAGCCCAAATTTATTTATCCATCTAGGTTTGAAGATAAATATGTTTTAAGATAACATGTTGCCTGTGATCTTACAGCATATCTAAAGTTGTTTGTTTCTCTGGTTCCATCAGGCAGTACCTGAATCTGGTTTGGTAACCTGTGTGTACTGGGAGGACAAAACACAGGAGACAGCAACGGAAGAAGGAAGTGAAAAAAGAGGAGAAAAGACTAAGACTATGCGTTGGTCAGTAGAGGGTTGTTGGGTTGCACACACTAATGAAAACTACACAGTGTGCAGCTGCTCTCATCTCTCCACATTTGCCCTCATCATGCAGATAGGGGAGGTATAATAGATTTGTGTGTGTGGATGTGTATTTGCTAATGCAGGTTCCCACACCCGACATCAGGCTGATCACAGCATATGTTTGCACTATGTGTCTTTTGGCTTTTCAGCCTCCACCAGAGGATCCTTTCTTAGAGTGGCTGAACCGGGTGTGTGTGATTTTCGGATTATTCTTCTTTGCACTGGCCATCCTCACCTTCCTCCTGTGTAGCTGGAACCCCAAGATCAACAACACGGCCCGTCTTCACCTCTGTATCAGCCTTGCCTTGTCTCATCTACTGCTGCTGTGGAATGACAGATATGTTGAACAAGAGGTACAGTGAGATTAAGATGCGGGTTGTTGTTATTGTTGTCAAAAAGACTAAATGGGCCCTCACACATGCATTTTATAGGGGTCAAACTAGAACAAAAAATTATCTGCTGACAGTGTTAACAGTTGTGCATGAAGTTTGGAGAATAAAAGAAAGAAGAAAGCATTTTATTGGTTTCAAGATTCCTCTTCCGTGTTTCCACAGTTGGCCTGCACCGTCATGGCCGGGCTTCTCCACTTCTTAGTTGTTGCCAGTTTTGTGTGGATGCTGCTGGAGGCCCTGCAGCTCCACCTGCTGGTCCGAAGGCTCTCTAAGGTGCAGGTCATCCAGAGAGATGGCCTCCCTCGGCCAATTCTCTACCTGATTGGCTATGGGGTTCCATTTGTGATCGTGGGTATTTCTGCACTGGTGTATTCTGATGGATATGGTGCTACTGAGGCAGAGGTGTGAGTAGCATACACAGTGATACACATATTGGTTGTGTCTTTACGATAAATTTTTATCCTCTGTACTTAAATGGATTTTTAGCTTTATAAGTCTGGATAATGGTGTGTAATGTGTGAATTACAGGTGCTGGCTGTCACAACAACGCAACTTCAAATGGGCTTTAACAGGACCAGTGATTACTGTCCTTGCAGTGAGTCTATTAGCGTGTTATAGTATAAGCAGCTGCAATGAGGGATAATAAGGACACCTCAAAACTCATTCTAAATGTGTTTCCTCTGTTAGCTTAACTGCGTCTTGTTCTGTGCTACTTTATGGAGTCTGAGACCCACCTTGGCCAACATGAAGAGTGATGTCTCTCAGTCCAAAGATACAAGGTGAGTGTGTGTGTGTTCTTCATTTTTGTTCGACCATTAACTACAAAGTGCAACAAACAAAGTACACTGTATCTGTTTAATCAGAAAAAAAGCTGTTTGATTCTAAGTGCAGAGTGACTGAGTAGTTGGCAGCTACTCTGCGCTCACTTTGTATTTGTTTGGTTTGCAGATTGATTGTGTTCAAGATCCTGGCCCAGTTTGTCATTCTGGGCTGTACCTGGCTTCTGGGCCTGTACCAGACAAACCTTTTTTTTCAAGTCCTTTTCATAATCCTAAACTCCCAGCAGGGCACCTTCCTCTTCATCGTCCACTGCCTGCTCAATAAGGAGGTAAACTCTTTATGCAGTTCAGTGATATTTTTTCACAGAGCACTGCTACTAACTAATGACAGCAATAACAGTAGCCCTCTTTCTTATTCATAGCATTAACACATGACTCTTAACAAGTTGTATTTCTTTGTATTTTCTAGGTTAGAGAGGAATACATAAAATGGCTGACCTGTTCCTTTAACAAGCGGCGAGAAGAAGGATCTGTGGTGAGTTTTAATAAGGAAACAACAACGCATAATATCAGGAGGCGTTTTAATAATTGTGAAACGTTGACAATTTTTTAGCTATAAATCTTTCTCTTTTTGAAATGCCTTTGTTGCCTTTATATGACTATCAAAACCACAAAGACACAAAATAGTATGCTGAAGAAACAAAATAACCCTCCACACTTAGCATTTCCATTACAAACACTGGGTGATCCCAGGAGTGTCTGCATGTGAATTGTATACAAGTCACTCTACAAAAAGTCTTGTGTTTTCTAATAGAAATTGTATATTTTTGTTTTAAAATCTCTGTCTGAAATGATAATTGGTGTAATGTTGTATGAATTTCCCTCGAACCATCCAACATAAACAATGTATTTCAACAGAAAGATGCTCCGTCAGTCTCGGAGGACTTGGACAAGGCTGGAGACCAGACAGGCTAATGGCGAGGAAATAAGTATGGCAAAAGGACCAGGAAGAGAAATGCAGGCCTTATTCAGTTTTCAACCATTCAGCTGTATCTACTATGATTTTTTTCTGTCATTTTGTGCTTGGGATGGTGTTCACTTGGACACAACACAACAATACCTGATCATCATCATTGCCGTTATTTTCCTTGTTCAATGCAGGTTTCTTCTGCTTTGTTATATAGGGCACTTCTTTCATCATTTTATTGTTTTGAGTCCATAATAAATTTCTGCTGCATCAATCATTTCTCATTTGTTTATGTCCTGACAAATACACAACTCAAGGTCCAGCAAATACTGATCTGTGTGAACCTTCTCTGTGACTGTGTTTGCGGTGTGTTGATGTATGTGGTGCGTCGTGTAGAGCTACACTCAGGGGCGCCGTAAAGGGAGGAAAAGTTAGGACAATTCTAAGGGCCCATGACTGACAGGGGGCCTCCCAAGAAAATAAAAAAATTTTTTTTTTTTTATTTACCTTTGGTGAGGGGGCCCAATGTGATATTTTTTCATGGGGCCCAAAATCCCTGGCGGCGCCCCTGGCTACACTTCACCTAAAGCTCAAATTTGTTGGTGGTGTCTCTGTAGTGTTAACATTGTTCACATTGTAACTTTGAAAATCTGGTTTCACTTTCAGAACAGAGCATGGTTATAAAAGTTACAAGACTTTCAAATAATTAGATAAGTATTTGCAAATTGCTATGCCAAGTGGTCAGCCACCTGGGTTAGCTGTATTGGACTGCCCTAATTAGGCCCTAACGCTGGGAACACACTGCCTGCGTTGCATGAGCGTGGCGGCTGACATCACTGAACTGCTGCGAGAACCACGCGTGTGTTCACACTGGCTATGTCTCTGCTGCTGCCAGCTCTATCTTTTGGAGGTTCCTTAACCTATAACTTATTAATGAATTCCTGACTTTTCTTTTCTTTTTTTTCGGCAAAGCACGTCACTAAAAGGGCACTGTCTCCACATGCAGCTGCTAAAATGGTTAAAAAAATATATACTTCTATTTTTTCATGTCTGTATCATGTTCAGATTCAGCCTACACATTGACTATTGACTATTTTCTCTGTTTAATTTTGGTAGAACATGCGCGCGGCACGCATGAAAAATAGGCACTCTGACCTGTTAACATGCGCGCTAAAATGAAAATCCGCAAGTTCCGCAGTTGCCATGTTCACGCCACCCATCCGATGTGTTCCTGACCTAAGAATTCTGCCCTGAGCTCACGGTACACTCTGAGCAAGGGTCTGGTTTCTCTGCTGTTGTACGGATTTGATCAGAAATGTGTGGTTTCAATGTATGGTGTGAAGCCTCTACCGTTTAATACTTTTTTTTGTTTGTTTGTTTCATAGCACCAGATATACTGTATGTACATGACAGAACATACAAACAGAGAGTAGTTACAGCCTTTGCCTCCGCGGTTTGCATTGTAAACAAAAATGCAAAATTGTAAAACCTGAGCAAAAGTTGAATGCATTCCAGATGACTTGCTGCCAGGATGAGCATTACCCAAATGAACTGACACAGAAGAACAACTTGAGCAAGGAGAAGTGTTAAATACTACAGTCATCAACAAGACTGACAAACATTAACCGGAATTGACAAACAAGAATTTATATATAAATAGACATCTAACAATAATAACTGTAAGTGCACAGTAGATAGTATTGGATACAATGGTATCAATTGGTACACTCTTTGAACAGGTAAAAAGTCCAGTAATGATGACCATGATGAAGGCCATAGGCCGAAACGTATGGTCTGGTAATGGATCGCCGGGGGGATGAAGTATTTTTGTAGGCTAACCCGGATGTTAGCTTCACCCTGCACAGTTCCCTTGAGAAAAAGCCAGTGGGATTTTTACATGAGCGTTTTGGATTACTTTAGAAAAACAAAATTCATGATACTTGCCTTAATACAATCATTAGAAGTAAAAAGCTAATGTTAGGCAATAAAGACTTCGGGCCAATGGAACCGGAAGTGCTAAAATGCTAACTAATTTGGCGTCAGGTGTCAGGACTCATTCCTGCGACACTTTGTTTAACCTCACCACTGATATCATTTGTTCAGATTATATTCTCTCAGTTTCAACTTTTCTTTATAAATTGGTCTACAAATCTTTTCCTTACATGCACAAACTTGAATTTCTCATGCAGATTTATTTTACAGGTTTACTAAGGTTATTTTTACAACATTTACAACAACAAACTTTGAAATTATTTGTAGGCTACAAATCACTTTACAAGTTCAAAATCTCGTTGACCCTATTGACCCCATACTATTTTGCGGGATTTTAACATCCTTTCCCTGAACTTTTCAGCTCCACATTTGCATTTTTTTTAGCTTGGTCACTGAACATGATCGGCTGGGGGAGGGCCACATATGGACAGTGTTCGTTCATTGAACGTTTTCATGTTTTTTGTTAATGCTAAACTGAACGAATCAGTTTACAAATGATGAATGTGAGGGCTGCTCACATTTTACAACACGCCGCATGACATCTCCACAGACACGGCCCAGCATGGCTGGTGCTAGCGGTACAGACGGTTTTAAATGTAACTCATGTCTGTGATTCTTCAGTGGTATACTATAATTCACTTAGTTTGAGAGTGGCAATGATTTGGGGCTGGTGATAGATGGGTAGAGGGAGGTTCTATTGAAAAAGAATAGCAGCCTATCTATTTAAAAAACAAACAAAACAAAAAAAATGCGAACTAATTAATTTTTGTAACTGTGAACTTAGTTCAAAATTTAAAAAATGAACTATGAATGTGAACTAGTTCTTTTTAAGTGTGAACTGGCACCACACTGCAAATGGAGATGCCGGACACAGAACCACATCTTTTACACCATCAAATACATGTGTATCCTGTAGCGCCCCCATCTGTGCCTGGGGCTAGGGTTTAGTTAGACCTATTTCCATAGCACTGTGTCACCACTGGATAGGGCTTAGTTCAGGTTGTGGTTAGACATTGCAGAGATAACTAGTTTGGTTAGGAAAGGGTCGAGACCAGGTTAAGGTGAGAGGAAACACATGCAACATTAGCATATCTTAGATAGAACAAATACACGGGCCGAATATCCACCATGGACAAGGGAAGCTGACACCTACTGTACCAATATCTATGTGCACAATACATATGTGACACAGTAAACAAAACAAAGAATATGGGCAGCATTAAAATCTTGTTTAATTAAACCTTGGTACATCTGTAATAGAGGTGCTTGGTGACTCCATCTTTCTCTTTCTTTGAAGTGGATTTGCATTGTTTTTTTGGGGGGTTTTTTTTGCATGCGCACCAAACCTTTTAAAAACATTCTTTTGGGTGCTTTGCAAATTTTAGGATGCAGACGTTGGACAGTCAGACTTGATGAGCACATTTGATGTGGGATTCGTCACAATGAGCTACTGTGCAGCGTTACTTCTCCTGGGTGAGCGAATTTATGTTTCATATAGACAACAGATGAGTGCTTCCATACTTGTAACTTTAAGTTAATTTATTCGACTAGTCCCCATGAAGTTAATTCAAAATCTAGTTTGAAAATAAGTTCTTGCACAAGAAAAAACAACAATTCAGACCTTTTTTGGATCAAAGTTTTGTTTTTGCCTTGAAAGGGATGTGTTCTGTTATAACTCATGCTTTATTTTAATTTTAGAGAGACACTTTAGCACTTCATGGCACCTGAACAATTAAGTACTTATAACTTTGGAGGGTGTCTGTCTAATTCTACTTTACTTTATTGGTATTTCATTGATATATTGAGAGGAAAAATTATTTAACCTGCATAATAACTTGTTAAAATATAAAGGGCCATATAAGGGGTGCAATTGTTTTTTGTTTTTTTTGTTTTTTTTTTTAGGTTAGGGAGTTGTCATTTAAATTAGAGATGCAATTGTTTTCAGGACATCGATTATTATTTTCCATAACATTGTCTCATTTTTGTTTTAGGTTTACTGGTCATCCCTGTGACAAATGGTTTTCCCCCTGGTATGAATGATGTTTACTTAAGGCAAGACAAAATGTTCATCTAGCTATATTGAAACAATCATAATGTCATTGCAATTGTTTGCCGTCATGCAGGTTCTTGTGATGGATACAGCAACATAACGGAACCGTGGCGAAACCAAGCATTTGAATCTACTTCATTCGCTGGCTTTCCCAAAGATGATTTGGGGCTTCTTAATGAATGGTGGCGTTTCACAGGGATTGGAGGAGACAGAGTTATTCAAAGTTGTCTTACAACCAATCGTGGTGGCACAATGCGAACTATTCATACTTTGGTTGTGCCTTCGAGTTCTGATTCTGTGAACCCAACATCAGGGTATGCATATGGTTATTACAGTAGTTGTTATGGCGTTTACTTGAACATAGACGTGGCCCTCTGTCCTGGAGGATTCTTCGTGTACCGACCAACAAGTCATACTCTCGACTCCATGGGATACGTGACTTGTGAGTAGTGACTAATTGTTTAAATGCGTTTTTTTTTTTTTAAACTTTTCTGTCAACATGTAAAGCCTGGTTTAATTAAATTTCTTTGAAGTGAGAACATCTTCAAATGCAAAAACGCCCGTTACTTAGAAAGTGGCAGAAACTAAATTCAATTCCCAACTAACAATAAGGGCTATATCGATATGAAATTATATTTATTAAGAGTCGAGGTATTTTTCCTTTTGGATGTAAGGTCTCTGATTTGACAGGTGTGTCTTAATTTTTTTTTTTTTTTTTTTTTTGAAAATTGTGTTATATTGATTATCCTGTCACAAAAACTTGGGTACAACTGGGTGATACAGCTGTGAATGACAAAGATTTTGTATTGTGATCAATTCATCTTCAGAGAATGCTAAGAGTTGAAGTTTTCATATGTGTTTAATAATGCAAAAGTTGCTACACTGGACATTGATGGCTACTGACAGTTATCAGTGATCTGCTCAACCGTCACAATATAATAATTTTCAGCCCTGACTTACACATAACAGGAGCTAAGAGATCTCGAAGTCAGTTTTAAATCTTAACGTTGTAGGGGGGAAGTATCTTTCAGATGAAAACCAAAAGAATAGGTGCACTTATAAGTCATACATTGAATCAAAAGTTGCATCTCAGGTGAGAGGCCATAAATCGAGGCAAGATGGTCAATACTCAGACTCTCTGGGACAGAAGAAAATAAGAACTTTGATGGTGCTTCTCAGGGATCGGAGGAGATAGATTTGGTTTAAATTCCACTTGTATTTCCAACTACTATATGATAATCTTGGTTACTGTAATGGTGTATTGTAATCTACATGTACAAATCATTAAAACACTCATATGTTACTATAGCTAATTGTTGCAGTCCTATGTTTTCAGTCTATTTAACAGCAAAAGAAATTTTGCCCGCATCTCTGTTTAGATCATCATGATTGTAAACCAGATTCCTGTGGACCACTGGCTGAGTGTACGTCTAATGGGGGCTGCATTTGTGTTTCTGGGTATGAAATCCCTCCAGAACACCTACCCGAACCAGATTCATATGGTTGTGTTGGTGAGTAAATTTCATTTCATATGAACTGAAGAAAATCTTTTTATTACAGTTACATAGTAGAAGTTAGTCACTACCAGACTTATTGGTGTTGGAGAAAATATATAAATACAAATGAAACAGCCGCTTGAATTTAGACTGTCAATTTCAATATTTTATGGATAAAGAACACATACTGTAGGCATCCCTAACCATATGAAATTATTTGCATGAAATGAAACATCCATAATGCCATTACTGGCTGAAATCATGGGTAGTTAGGCTATGATTTTCAGGATATGCACATAGACATATTTGTAGTACTGTAAATTTATAGCATCTAGACCTCCCCCAATTACAGTGGGAACATTATCACGAAAATATTAGACATGTGCAGTGCATACAGCGATAATGACCATTGCTACAGTCCTTTATTGTTACTCCCAAGTATAAAAAACATCACAAGGCCTCATGTGCTCTTAAACTATGCAGTCTGCTTGGTGTGTACCTTCTTTAAAATCTGTAATGTATCTTGTCAGACATTGATGAGTGTCAGAGGACTGCGGACATTTGTGGTTCTAATTCCAACTGTACCAACAACATTGGAGCATTTTTCTGTACCTGTCTGAATGGATTTAATGCAACAAATCCAGCATCACCACCTGGAAAATCCAACCCATGCGCAGGTACTATTTTGTTTCACTGTTGATCTCAAAGTTATGTATTTTTCTGCGGAGTTGCAGTGGCATATTTGTGTTATGCAAGTTGCGACTCCAGTTGATTTTTTATTTCATCTTTTTTATCTGAGGAGATGATGGGACCGCTCTGTCATCTCTGTCCTCTGTTTTTGTTGCTCACAGTGTGATATGAGTCTGTTGTGTATTGCTTTCTATAGATATTGATGAATGTCTTGACAAAGTCTGTGGAGATCACGGGGACTGCCTCAACAACCAAGGAAGTTATGTGTGTAACTGCCATGACGGCTATGTTGTGGCTGATGCAACCCTTGTTTGCCAAGGTCTGTACTTTACTATACTATACTATACTATACTACACCCAAGTCTATTATGCACGAAATGAGAGATAATCCACAATGATCCATTTAGTTGTCAAAGCTCTTCGGGTATTGACAAGTTTGAACTTTACTCACAGGGCAAGTTATATTACGCAACAGTCTGGGGAGTAACGGGGGACTACACACGCAAATCCTAAATTAGTTAGCTATTTTATATTATTATAGCTATTTTGGTCACAGACACAGACAACTACAGACTTTGACAGTAAAATAAAATAATGATTTTATCCTTGCTAATATAACACAATGCTTAAATGCTGTAATCCATTATAATAGTTTATACACATTTCGCAGAGTATTGACAAAAAAAATATTTCAGATGCTCAGAAAAACCCATCAAGCTATGGCTTGCTAGGAGAAGTGGGTAGGCTTTTGTGTATATGAGTAAAAGAGGGAATTTGACAGTACATAAAGTAAAGGTGCTTTTCCAGCAAATGGTCCGAGAAATTTAATTTCCTAAAAACTAATGTCCAGGAACTTTCTCGGGGTTAAATGCTCCTTCAACATATTGGGATTTGTGGTACCACAGCAATGCTGATACATTGGGAGAATAAAGCAAATTAGTCCACTGATGTAGCAAAAGTGCAGTGGTCGCCTTTCTTCACGCCATTTGTATAAAAATTCACAACAAAGCCTGAACTTCACTGTTGTTCAATTGGTTGTGAAATATCTTGGCCGCCCCATCCTGATTGTTGTCTACAAGCAAAACCATGTGTTTGCAGTTGTGTTTAGACTAGTTAAAGTCTGACATGATTCAATAAATGAGAACCTTGTCACTTAGAGTAACTGTTGCCTCCTCAGATATCGATGAATGTTTCAACTTAACTGTCTGTGGTCCTGATTCTGCCTGCATCAACATGCAGGGCGCTCATACCTGTGAATGTCTTCTGGGTTACGAACCAACTCAACCAGCTGCAGAACCCAGCGGGACCAACATCTGTATTGGTATTTACAGATACGACCATAACAAACCTTAGAGTTGAAATGTCTGTGTGTTGATTACTGTTTGTGTTTTGCATTCAAAGATTTAAGAAGTGACCACGTAAGCAAAAGCCAAAAGAAAAAAAACAGAAGAGCAACTCTTCCTCAGTTGACTGAGAATGTCTTTCAACAGTTACATAGAGAGGAATGCTGTTGGGCTGCAGTGCAAATACCACAGGCACTGGTCTACAGAGATGTGGAAAAAAGGGATATGGTCAGTTGAGTCATCCTTCAACATATTCTCAACAATGTGCATGTGAGGCGTAGGCTACACCAAGAGAACGATACAGGCCTGATTGCTTGACCCCTACAGTGAGGGGATCCGGTGGCTCTGTTATGCTGTGGGGGCATTTTGCTGCCATGGTTTGTATACCCTTGCCTCTTTAGAGGGAAGAGTCACTGCAAATCAATACAAAGTGACCACATTCGTCCTGTTAATAGCATTTCTATCCTGATGGGAGTGGTCTTCTTCAGGATGATAATACTCCCATCCATAGGGCACGAGGTATCACTGAATGGTTTGATGAGTATGAAAATGATATGAATCTTATGAGTTCTCTAGCAACATCATCAAAACACAAAACGAGGGAATATGTAAGACTGATGCTCCATCCCTCCAGTAAAGTTCCAGAGGCTTGAAGCATTGATGCCAGTTGGTGTTGAAGCTGTTCTGGTGGCATCACCTTGCTAACACACTTTATGTCCGTTTTCTCCTTTAATTTGTCACCTGAATTTTATCTGCACCAAGGTTATGTTTTCACCTGTGTCTGTTTATTTGTCAGCAGGATTACACCAACTGTACTGAACCAATTTGCACCACATTTAGCGGAGGAATGGGGCACGGGCCAGGGAAGAACCCATTCAATTTTGGGGCAGATCCGGATCATTTACTATGAATTAGAAAAAAAAAAATTCTGCTGTGTGTGTTGTTGACATTGGCTTCGGCAGAGGTCTGCACTCTCTCAGTGCCCTTCTACTTTAATTTATGTACTTTTACAGATGTTGATGAGTGCGTCGAAAATGCTACCATCTGTGGACCTAATGCCAACTGCACAAATTCACTTGGATCTTATGTGTGCACCTGCTTTCCTGGTTATCAGCAGAGCAATCCAGACATTATAGCCAGCGTGGCTAACCCATGCACAGGTGTGTGCTCGTGTTCGGTATCTGTGTGACATACATTGTGCTTCTGCTTTTTGGATATATATGGATCAAATGACCCATGTGTGCTCTCTCCCTTACAGATATAGATGAGTGCAGCGAGACACCTGATATATGTGGTGAAAAAACTGTATGCACAAATGCACAAAGCACATTCTACTGTTCCTGTCCTGATGGATTCTATCCTTCAACAGGATTCTTGTGGAAGATGGGCATCTCAGTTTGTCAAAGTGAGAAAAGTCAAGTTTAAGTTCAATTAAGATTTATGAAAATGTAAAGATGTTCATGTACGGTATTTTCTAAATCACTAACAGGTCTCGGAGATATTCTAGATGAGCTAGTACCACAAAAGGTAAGACTCATGGACATTTTCCTAGGTAGCTAATATTGTTAACCATGTAATGCATGACAATGTTCAATCAAATACCCCAGCTCCACTCAAATACAGCTGCAGGGTTTTAGGCTCTTGGGTGGAAGAAATCTAGCTCCATGAAAAACAGACATCTCGCTTTGGTGCATAGAAAACTTTGAGATTACATAACGTTGGACTGTAACTTTCTTTTAATATAAAAATGTCTCATTGTCCGCAGACAGTGTAGCATAGTAAACAATACTCCCACATTTACTGCAGGGTCAGACAAAAGAACGAGCTTTCCTTAACAAAATGGAGGAAGAACTCAAGAACAACACAGGTGTCATCTTAGTGGAAGCGGTATGTAGAAAACAATCTCATGCATCAGTGAGAGTATTATTTATTGTTTTTTATTGTGACTGTGGTTAATCTAAACATACTTATGTAGACACAGTTCCTTACTGTTAATCTAACGTTTTGTGATGTGATGGACTGGTGACTATCTGATGTCTTTCCCTTTGTTATCCTTGACGTCTTTGCAGGTAGTGGCAAACAGCTTTTCTGCAACAATGGTATTAAAATTTGAACTTTAAATCCTACCTTATGGTAAGTGTATCTATTTATTTATTCATTACAACAACTTTAATTCTTGCAGGAAGTGTCAGGAGCTTTAGGAAAGGATAAAAGGGTGAGTAGTGAAGGAGATGGGGACACCGGCAGTGTCATCCTGAGCATCTCAGACCACCTAGTTTCTGCGATGGTTCCACCAACTGAGAACCAAACCAAAAAAGCAATGCAGACTTCAACAGTGGGTAAGAGAAGTTCCCCCATAGTTCAGATGGACTACATTTGTATTCTCATTGAATATGAAATGAACTTGCTTCATTTCTTATCCATGTGCAAGATTTGAGCCTACTGGCCATCGGTCCCGGGATTCACGAAAACACGAGCGTCCCCCTCTTCAGCAAAGGACATACCATGGAACTCAACTTGCAGGCTCTAGCCAGCGCCAACAATGGTTAGAGAGATAGTGATAATGAATGCTACACTGTCACCAAACTCCAAAACAGTTTTATTCATTGATGTTAGTTGATTTTCTTTGTGCTGTGGACACTCTCAGGTTCAGCAGCAGCTGCCTTCATGACACTGAATGGGATGGAGAATCTTCTTAGTCATCAATATTTTAAATCAGAGAACAAGACAGAGATGTACTCGGATGTTTTCACTGTAATATTACCGTCAGTACACAACACCAACATCACTGAGCCTGTCAACTTTACCATCCAACATAAGCAGGTGCAGCATCAACCCGACTAATGAGTGAACACATTTACATCCATCCCAAAAAAAAGAAGAAGAAGAAAAAAAAAGATCTTAACTCTGTTTTCATCTTTGTTTCTCAGAAAGTACCTGAAGCTGGAATAGTGACTTGTGTGTTCTGGGAAGACAAACGCAAGAACAAAGAAGAACAACAAAAGGATGATGGAGGGAAAGAGGGGGAGGCGCTGCGTTGGTCCGCAGAGGGCTGTTGGGTTGCATACTCTGATGAAAACTACACAGTGTGCAGCTGCTCTCACCTCTCTACCTTTGCCCTCATCATGCAGATTGGGGAGGTATAACAGATTTCTATGGACATGGCACACATGTTTTGCTAAGGTCAGGGATACAGTAGAGCCATTTTAAAATCCTAACAAATTTTAAGTTACACACACATACTGGGCTTCACGTATTTGCATATTTTTCTCAGATTTCATTAAACTTAGACCACATGATTTGGCAAATGGGGGTATGGTATGTCCTGCAGTAATGTTTTTACTTACAGTAATCTTGTAGTTTACACCCAGGTGGCGACACAGTTGCAGAAACTAAGTTCAGGTTGATCAGAATCTGTGCGTCTTTCTCGCTGTGCTGCATGTTTTTCGGCTTTTCAGCCTCCACCAGAGGATCCTTTCTTAGAGTGGCTGAACCGGGTGTGTGTGATTTTCGGATTATTCTTCTTTGCACTGGCCATCCTCACCTTCCTCCTGTGTAGCTGGAACCCCAAGATCAACAACACGGCCCGTCTTCACCTCTGTATCAGCCTTGCCTTGTCTCATCTACTGCTGCTGTGGAATGACAGATATGTTGAACAAGAGGTACAGTGAGATTAAGATGCGGGTTGTTGTTATTGTTGTCAAAAAGACTAAATGGGCCCTCACACATGCATTTTATAGGGGTCAAACTAGAACAAAAAATTATCTGCTGACAGTGTTAACAGTTGTGCATGAAGTTTGGAGAATAAAAGAAAGAAGAAAGCATTTTATTGGTTTCAAGATTCCTCTTCCGTGTTTCCACAGTTGGCCTGCACCGTCATGGCCGGGCTTCTCCACTTCTTAGTTGTTGCCAGTTTTGTGTGGATGCTGCTGGAGGCCCTGCAGCTCCACCTGCTGGTCCGAAGGCTCTCTAAGGTGCAGGTCATCCAGAGAGATGGCCTCCCTCGGCCAATTCTCTACCTGATTGGCTATGGGGTTCCATTTGTGATTGTAGGTGTTTCCGCACTGGTGTATTCTGATGGATATGGTGCTACTGAGGCAGAGGTGTGAGTAGCATGAACAATTACCCATTGTCTCATGGAAATTCTGTTTGATGTGCATCTAGGTTTGAAGGATTGTTTTTTTGTTTGATTCTGTTGCAGGTGCTGGCTCTCAAAATGGCGCAATTTCAACTGGGCTTTAACAGGGCCCGTGATTTTTATGATTGCAGTGAGTATATTGCATATTTGTAATTGCATCCCATCTATCTTAAATACAATCAGCTCAGCCTGGCCATCCAAAAATCAAGCGAAAAGACTGAAATTTTGACAGAATACTAATTGGACATGTCAAAGGTGATCTCTGTTGAAGCTCTGTCAATGCCCTGCTGGATTTACAGTGAAGACCAACTGAATGTTGTGCAAACTGAGACTGCCCTGTAAAAAAAAACAAAAACAAAAAAAACCGACCCCATAGATTGAGTAAGCCGCTTATTACGAGCAAAGGAGGAAGTCAGGTGAAGTCTTCAGGGAGTCAATGTGGAACTAACCACAGAAAAGGGAATGGTGGTTGAAAAAAGTGTTTACTTAATGCAAATGAACCCCAAGTTTGACTGGATTCTGCACAACGATTTGCTAAAAGAAACCGACAATAGAAAGTTATACAGTGGTGGGTTAGATATGTAGTCTTTATATGGATAAATGTCTGAAGAGAAAAGAAGAAAAGTATAAATGTACTTCCTGGGGTTTCTCTTTCATATGCCACCAGCTTTCAACATCCTAGATACAAACAAAATATAAGTGGTGCTTGACACAAAGTCACAGAAATTGTTGAAGAAGTTTTAGGTTGGTTATTTTACATAATATTTTCCAATGAGGAAGCGACTTACTTGCTTGGAAGTATTGACATGCCCACGTTTGATGTTTGACGATTTGTTCCCTTCCAGTGAGTCGGTTTCAGTAGGTCACTATTAACCTCAGCTCTCGCCAAAGATATTCTCATGAAGACACATTATTCTCTGTGTCCTACTTCAGTTACATTCACAAGTGCCATGTACCACTAGCACGCCATACAGATGACTAGGCTTTACAGGTAGTATCAAGGTCCTTTATCTTGTGATTTTTCCACTGTTTGATCTAAGCTAAGCCTCTCCTTTTTTTTCTTTTAAAGTCTAATTGGGTGTTGTTCTGTGCTACTCTATGGAGTCTGAGACCCACCTTGGCCAACATGAAAAGTGATGTTTCTCAATCCAAAGACACCAGGTAAGAGTGGTCAAGACTTTTCATTGTATAGAAATGAAAAATCTGAAATCTGTGTCCGGATTATACTGTTTGACTTATCCAGTAGAATTGTGTGTCTTGTATTTGGGAGGGCCGAGACTGTGGTCACTTATGTTAGAGACATTTTCTCAGTGTAAACATAATCAAAATGTTAAAGATACTGTACTAATTATCCATAGACTTATACATTCTCAAGACAAAAACTTTAAATTCTCATTGTTTCCAGGTTGATTGTGTTCAAGATCCTGGCCCAGTTCGTCATACTGGGCTGTACCTGGATTCTTGGCCTGTACCAGACGAACCTTTTCTTTCAGGTCCTCTTCATTTTCCTCAACTCCCAGCAGGGCACCTTCCTCTTCATCGTCCACTGTCTGCTCAATAAGGAGGTAGTCTTCAGCTATATCTGTCTCTACTTCTCCTTAACCTCTCACAGCATCTAATTTAACTAGGCTAATACTAATATTATAAAGAGAGTATGAATTGAATGGTAAGCTGCATTTGTTAAACAGATGAGCTATACTAATTTTATGATGTGTAATGTAGACAATGTAGCACTACTTTTTGTTAAACGGTTTGATTTCAAGTTTTTTTTCCGTATTTTTGTATATTGTGTATAGAAATGAGTTGGTGATTTGTGTATTCCAGGTGCGAGAGGAGTACATTAAATGGCTGACATGCTCTTTTGGAAAAGACAGAAATGTGGTGAGTCCCTGGAAATGCAAATGATCTCAAGTAGTCCTAGACGTCTTTAGTCCTATAATTTTCAATGTTAATTTGATATAAAACTCAATTAAAAAAGCTGTATTTCTGATAAGTTTCAAACAAACTTACATATGCCACTTTAAATCCCTTATTGTACATCCCTAATACTGATGATAATAATTTGTTTCAACAGAAAGATGACGCACATTCAGCCTCTGATGACTTGGACAAGACTAAGGAACAGACAGATGAAGGAAAAAAGGACGATTTGTCCTGATGAAGTGAACAGGAAACAGGGAGGAAAGAGACAGAATGATCCATATCAAGTTATTATTTAGGTCTTCATAAATCACAGTTTCATGAATGCAAAAGTTGGGATGTATTTCAGCACAGCAGTCTATATATTGAATATAAAGTCTCATGGTTCTAGTCCAAGGACTGAAAGTGAAATGTTTTAAATGAACTCTGTAAACAGTGAGTGCTACAGTGCTATCCTTTCTCCAGTAACTGTAGTATGTATGAGTTGTACAATACAACAGTTCAGTTTGTGTTTAGGCCATCAGTTGATATTATTACGCTGAATATATTTGAGATGTAGCTCGTGCAGCTGTGGCATTCACAGGTTTAACAGTCATACACTACATATTTGAAAGCTTTTGGATATCTGCTGGTTTTTGTGACTTATTGCCTTAAACAGACTAAGGTAGCACACACTGAATATTAATAAAGCAAGGCCTATAATAATTGAAGGGCTCACAGTGTTATATAACACTGGGAAGACCTGTTGAAATTGTCACGATCTCTCCACCTAATTCATTTGCTTGGGTGTGGGAGCTTTCACAAACATGTTACTGCCCACACCTTTTGTTAGTCACTGTCTAAAAAAACACAAACTTTCTACAAAGTAAAAACATTAGTGTCTGAGTCGTTTCCTTCTCTTTCCATTTGAATTACATTTACATGAGAGCTGGGACACTTTGACATGTGTCAAACTTTACAAGACAAATTTATGGGACAGGCAAAGCCAAGTGTATTCTGTCATTTACATCGCATCAACGTCTCACACTAATTCAAAGTATGATACAAACATTAAATTAATAGACGGTGATGGAGTATAAGAATCAACCTCATTTAACCCCGTTAACTTCTTTGTGTATCACTGAGGTTTCTACCGTACATGTAATGAATACACGACAGAACAAAATAAAAATAAATCAAATAAAACTGCTTAGTGCTGTTTATCATCTTTGAAAGGCAACACTAATGTGCACTCCACTTTTGGAAGAGAGCCACTTTCCTTTTTAATAGCCCTCATGTCCTCGAAATAAAAATCTTGTTTCCTTTAAAAGTTTGCACATGAATCAATATCACTGTGGCACTATTGCCGACATCTGAATTGACATCTCTATGCGTTACTCTTTGCCTGTTTTCATAAATTATGAAAATAAATTAACAATGGATATCACTGCTGATGCTACCTTACTGCATGCAGAAGACAATAAAGACTGACCAATTTACCCAGCAGAACCACAGCGCAGGGACTGGGTTTGCAGATTATGGAAACCTGCTGAAATCCCCTGTGGAAAATTGGGGAAATAGAGGGAATAAATACTGTCCTCTTTTCCCTGTACTCCCTCACCCACAGATGTCTTGTTGCACGTAAACTGGGTCCACTTAGCTACACTTAGAAGACAGTGGTTGTAAAAAATAATCTTGTAACTGAATATAGCCTAATAAAACTGTGTATTAGTGATTCCCCTGTGTTTTTGAACAGTTTCAAATATTCCTCTGTTATCTCAGTTTCTGCTGAGGTTTTACGCTTTCTAAATAGGAAAAACCTAATCAGTTTCATAGTTAATTAAACTAGGAATGCTCCATAATGAACTACCTGGGATTTTAGTCAACGTTTGGCACATGATCTGAGCTACGTCTGTGATGGCACACCTTCACAGTCAGTAGAGCCATTGATACTCCCCAGTGTCAACTTTTGTAATGTTGGGCAGATACAGTAGTAGTATTAATGGTAAATCAAGACAAAACATAAAAAGGTACATTTTTAGACAAAAATAATTGAAGAGAAGTTCAGTTGTTTCAAATTGTGGTTAAACAGTGCTGTCATATACTGATCGCCAAAAATGTCTTGGCTTGATACTGGACAAGCACATGACATTTAAAGCAGATAGAGGTCTGTACTAAACAAAGTTAAACAGTGTGGTAATCTGGGATTCCATGCTTATACACAACTCTATCATTTATGTGTGTGTCCTGTGTCTGACTATGCTTCTGGTGTTTGGGGTTTCTGTGCACATACAGGTTGTAACACTTCATCATAGAGCTTTTTGATTTTTTTTTTTTTTTTTTTTTTTTTTGGGGGGGGGTAATACTATAAATTTACTTCAGTTCTGGTCATTGGTGGAGATGTGTGATGGATACCTCCAAACATCAGACATAAATGTCAAATGCTTCAGCCTGGAATAGACTTGCGAAGTTGTCTGACCAGAGACTCGCTGAAAAGCTGCTTAATTGGGAGATTTCACACGGCCATCTCTGGGCTAATGGGTTGAAATCCTTATTCTATTTGAACGATTTTTCATGTATTTTTCATAAGAGGTTACTCTGTAATGTTCAGGAGAAAAATATTTCTCATGTATAAAGAAAATGGTCTTTTAATAAACGGTATATAAACAAAAATTACGAACTTATTGCCACATAGAGGCTAACTGCAGTGTAAAACCTTATGTTAAGTATAATTTAAACAAAATATAAAGATTCTTTTGTGAATGGAGAATGAGGTAGATTTTTTGTTTTGCTGTTGGACGTAAGGGACGTACTTTTCAGTAATATGTCCTCTATTTATTTTAATTTCTTCTGGCCAGATGGAAAGACTTGAGTTGTGCTTCAGGAAGGAAACTTATTAGTAGAAGATTTTATTTGCCAAAATTGGAAGAGAAGGCAGAATATTTTGTTTAAGACTTATTAAAAAAAAAGTCAAATAAGTAAGTCAAATCTCATGTGTTACTTACTTGCTGATGTTGGTGCAGTTTTCTCTGACTGCCACTAGATGTTACCAAAGGGCCATTTTTGACTGGTTATACCTTTAACTGAGTGGGTTTTATCACAGCTTTGGGTTCCTCAGGCTGCTCCTGGTGTGAAATCTAAACACCTCCTGTTGGCATGTGTAAAGCAGTGCGGGCTTACTTTGCACTGTCGTTTTATTTACAGAATGAACATTAAAGCAGAGCACTGGGAGTAGAGATTTGCATTTTACCACCCTGACCTTCCTCGTAGAATCAAATTATATTATTCATTGCAGTGGGACTAGATGTGCCCATCAATGTGTGTGAAATCATGGACTGTATTTAAGCAAGCAGACTTTGATCTGTTTTGTCTGTTGCCATTCAAATGTGGATGTGCTTGTGTGATTAAATGTGTGCGTGCATGTACTGTACTTGTATGTGAATGTCTAAGAGAAACTTTGTGTATTCACACTCTTGTTAAATGATGCGTAGTATCTGAAAGGATCAGCTGGAACTCTGCGTTCTGTCTGCTTGAGTGCTAATTGCATCCCAGTTGAGTCTAGTGATGCTGCCCTCAACTCTGTCCAGGCAGGAGGCCACTAATGACACAGTCAACATTCACACTCTGAAAACCCTCTTCACAACTATTTATTCAGTGTCTTGTCTTAAACACTGAATCAATTCAATATTAATTAGGGCGTTTTTTTTTTTGTTTTTTTTTCACAAGCATGAACCACAACTGAGAAATATAAAAATCAGCTTTCTCAAATTTCCCTAGAAATACTGCAGCCCAGAAAACAACTTCAGAGAACTCAGATTCAGTTGGTAAACAACCCAACCCATCACTGCAAATGATAATGCAAATGAGAGATGGACTACTATGCTTTACAAAATTGCCTGACAACACTAATATCACGCCATTAAGGTCATGTAAAACTCAGTATCTCCTGATTCTTGTAATTCTTTTAGGCCCTTCCAAAATGCGGTGTAGCCGGTTCCAGCTACCGCTTATTCCTCTTGGATCTGGTTTAGGTTCTTTGCATAAGCAATGTCTATATTCCTTCACTGGTTGCCAAATGGTGTCAAAGGATTTCTAACAACCTACAGACCAGCAAATTTGTTATATAAATCAAGAATGTGTGCATCTTTGCTGAGCTGGGGCCATAAAAGGCAATAATGTTAATGGATTGAGAGCAGAGTTGTGTAAGCAAATATTGTCAAGACAAATATTTAAGTCTCTAACAAACGTTACAGGTAATCATGCTACCTTGGCTCTGACATGATATCCAAGCTAGTGCGGCCTGTGAAGGAGATAACAGACAGAGAGAGCAGAGAAAAATGAGAGAACACAGTGCTCAGGGTTAGCTTCAGTGTCTCTCCCTCTCTTTGCTCCTCTTCTCTCTTTGCTCCTCTTCTCAATACTATACTTGGTTACCATGGAAACACACTTGCAGCGCTTGAGTCTTGAGGCCAGTCAGCTGAGATACCGTGTCTGGTAAACAATCCTGCAATCTCAACTGAATCTGTTGGTTACGCGTCAGAGCTTGTCAAATTATGTAGACATCAGCCAAAGGTCACGAGTGCCAGAAAGGTGGGAGGACCAGGGGTGGAACTGAGACAGCAGCTGTGACAAGTTTAAACTTTTCTCTAGTGCAAGTTTAGATGTTTTATATCAATGACATTTAAATCAGATACAGTTTGAGTCTGTTTAATCGACTAGACTGGGAACATAAGGAAGATGATACAGGTGACTAACTGCAGTCATGGCAGTCAACATTTATTTCAGTCACTATACAGCCATACGGAAGACCTGTAGGCATTATCAAACACATATTTATTAGTAGTAAAATTGGTAGAGTTTCGTGCGGCACTGTACAGTAACTTCACAGTGTTGTCTGAGCTGCTACTTAGAGGTTTTTAGAGTAGTCATTTGATGCCTGTAATTATCATTATTATTATAAGAACTTACTCTATTTATAGGACAGGCCTAATGATCTTCATTGTCCACGAAGACAGTCTGATGTAATATGTGAAACACCGCCCCGTATGTGCAAAATTGCTGGTTTACTATTACATGCAGACTAGAACTGCCCTTAATACCAATGAAATCATCCTAATCAAGAGTAGGTGGGTGCAACCACAATTACAGGCAAAAGACACATACATGCATTGCGGTGTGTGCGTGTGTGTGCGTGTGTGTGTGTGTGTGTGTGTGTGTGTGAGAGAATATTACAGGTAGGTAGAAAAAGGTAGAAAAACT